ACACACACACACACACACACACAAAAGATAGCTGGCTGGCCTTACTGTGGGTGGAATAAGGATGTCATGGGGTGTTTCTCAGTGGAGACAATAAACTCCCTGGATCATGATACTAAGTAAGCATTACTTAGGTAAAGAAAAGGCTAATGCAGACCTTTCTCAGGGACATTTTGTTCTCTTCGTGATATAGTGCTTCTAGTGGCCTGGCCTTGCAGTGAACAGTAGACATCTAAGTATGTGTGAGTGTCAACAGTAAACAGTGCTTGAAATCAAACCAATCTAATAATCTTTGGATGTGTAAATGCTTAAGTATTATGAAACACTATACAGTATGATTTTACTAATAATATTTCTTTGATGTAGGTGACCTTAAGAATCCAGTAAGGCCTCTAGAGATAAATAGGGATACCTGATAAGATGAATTTCAGCATGAAAATGAAGACCCCCCCCCGGAAATCTAGGTGTAAATATTAATAAGAACTTATTTTCTCTTTAGGGAAGAAAATTATTTCAGAGCCTGGATATTTCTGAACGTCTAAAATTTTTGCTTACTTTGGGTAAGTGCTATGCAACTATCTTTCAATTTTAGTAATTACTAGTAATCATACACTGTGCTTATCTGAAATAGTGAAATCTCCCATTTTCTTCATGTTTGTAATCATTAATGGTAAGCATTAATAGGACAGCTTAAGTAACTTCTGAACTATTATGATAATATGCAAAATATTATATAGAGCTTTCTTGATTTATCAAGAAATTATCCCTTGCATGGAAATAATACTGGTTTCATGATTTACTCAAGTAAACTAACTTATACAACCATACTATGAAAGTATGAGACTACCTGTCGCTAGTGTTTAACATCAGACAATTTCTTTACTTTTGGGCTTTCTGTTTGACTGGGTATGAATAACAACTTGGGAAGAATACTTATTTCCTTATAAAATGTTCTGTATTTTTTCTTGTGTTTGTAATTCATTTGCATAAAAATCTGTATAACTTTGACTGGGTTAAGTTAAATGTATGTGGTAATTAAGGAAAAGGAAACAATGATAGAACACTCTATAAAAAATGGTAAGTTAGTATGCAGATTAAGAGAATACAAGTAATATCTGTAGAAAAGTATTTATATATTAAAAG